GTAAAATAGTTTTTTTATATGTTGCACACCGGGTGAAAAGTCAGTCGTGTAACATCGACGGTCGCTCCTGTAGGTGTACGTATGTACATACATACGTACGTACGTACGTACGTACGTACACACATCACATGATCGTATATAACTGCCGAATAATACTACCAATATTGGGCATACGAAATTTTTTGCCTGCCCAATGTTGTATACATATTTATTAGTCTTTTTAAATATATCCTTAAAAGAAAAGCACTTCCTTATTATTAAACTCCGGGTCAGCTTGTAAAAATTTTATACGAATCAAAATTTTATTTCTCATTATATATAAAAATTAATACAGAAGTTTCCAAAATTTTATACGTAGTACATGTAAAATCCAATTTTAAATTGCACGATTTCGTATATAAATACGTACGTACGTACGTATCAATTCAGAAGAAATTGGCGGAATATTATTTTTATTAATACTCTCGAATTATATTTATAAATTGGATCTTAGTTGTTAAAAATGTTTAGCTGTTACGCAAATTTGTGTTCTTTTAATTTTTCACATACTTTTAAGGGGCCCTCAGAAACAACATGAACTTAATTTTGTAACACCGACACAACAATGGAAGCAAGATATGGTTTAAACGATTGATATCTGTGTGTAGGCAAGTTTTCCTGCGATTACAAGATGTTATATCTACTAAAATCACATATATGCTTTTATAAATCACTTATTAATATGACTATCCATCCTAACTTAGCTCTGAAACAAAAATACCACCATAATCTGCAGATTGCGTTGTACGTGGGAAAATATGTTTGAAATCTGTTTTTGAGAATAGACGTATTACACGTATGTAATTTATCCGTAAATTTATATTTTTTTGATGAAGTGCACAAAAATTTCATTGTTTTAATTTATACTCAAATATAAGGGCGTAACTTTGAACGTATTTAGCTTTTCATTTATCAATGCAGTGAGGAGAAAACTGCATACAATAAGAATATTTTAAAATTCATTGGAGAAATATGTAAAAGACGTAATCGAATAAAAGGTTGATTTAAAATTGAGAATATTAATCGTATTCAGGGAAACCTATATAAAGATTTCGAATAACCAAAATCCTTATGTAATTATTTAAAGATGGAAGAAAAATCCATCAGAATAGGTGAAATATCAGATGTTCGTCAAAGAGCTATAAATTGCAAAGAACCTAATTTAACCCCATCTCAAATATTTAAGTCTATTACTAACACAATTATAAATTATCAAAGCCTAACTAAGCACGAAAAACAATACTTAATAAGCGACCTTGTAAGGATAAGAGATGCACAAAATGTAATAGCAGATATAGGAGAAAAAAGGCACTGCGAATATTGTGATAATCGGGTTATCGCAATTACTTACTGCGAAAACTGTATAAGAAATTATTTAGAAAGAAATTTTAGCAAATGGACCACGGAAAATGATAAAATTGATCAATTAATCCAAGAATGTCAAGTTAATTCAGTATCACCTTCGGATATATTTGAGTGGATTCCGTTCGAAAATTTTACGAATCTGGAGTTTAGAGAAGAAAATACTTTTTCTTCGTTATATTCCGCAACGTGGGAAGATGGGCCATTTACAGAATGGGATACTGAAAATCAAGAATTAAAGAGGAGTGGCGGAGAAATCTATATTCTCAAAAGCTTGAAGAATTCTAGGAGAGCGGATGAACAATGGTTTAAAGATGTAAGTGTATATTAATTGTATTGAGCATAAAAATGGACGGACAATCGTATAATTTAAAGTTCAAATGTAAGCATTGTATTAGTATTCCAAATCAGCCGGCTTGCTGCAGCTTATTTATACCCTTATATTTACGTCATAATGAGCGTGACAAATAAGCTGCAGCAAGCTGGCTGATTCGAAACACTACATTGTTAGTGATGTGCCATTTACATGATACCTGAAAAATTTTAGCGTACAGTACGTATAGCGTATGATATATAAACTAACTATATGCAAGGAGTAATCTTACTTAGAATACAAAAGGAAACTTCTGAGATATGGATGGTTTTATAATTTGTTCTAGAATATTCTAAAATTTTTTTTGCGTACTGTACTATACGCGGCACATCACTATACATTATATTTTTATTCGTTTAGGCTATTTTTAATGTGGATGCTGGATAATAAATACAACTAAAAGACATGTTGATATAAATTTTTGCATAATATGCATTCAGAACATAAGTTATCTAAAAATTGGAAATTCGTAAGAAATATCATGGAATTATTAATTATTTTAGTTGAGAATCAGTTTTGAACATCACTATAACGAGAGTCACATGATTCTTTTAAGGTTTATTATCCCAGGAAATAATAAAAGAAAATTTATCACACTCCCTATAAGAAAAGTGGACTGGGTTGTGGCTCGGGTTGGTTTCGGGAATGCACAAATGGTACGGATGTGTGGCACGTAGATGCTCATTTTACGTGACGGCATGGCTAAAAATGGTACGGACATTACGGCAAAGTGATGGCACGTTTTGTCACGTCTTATGGAATGGCACGTATTTAATGATACGTATATGCACCTATCTCAAGAGAGAAGGATCAATAAATGTTTTTTTTTTACTGCTGTTTTCATTATTTTTGGGACATCTGAAAATTTTTTGACGGCCGAATCGATAAGTTACCAAGTCGAAATCAATAAGTTACTGATGTCGGATGACATCAAAAACTTATCGATTCGGTCATTAACAATTTTTCAAATATCCCAAAATAATGAAAACAGCTGTAAAAAAAAATGTAAAATTGTTCTGGGCATCTTAACGAAAAAAATTCCTTGCAGAATTTTACACATATGCAATTATTTTAATTTCAAATACGTACTATATTGATGATTATTGATGTAAATTTATGGTTTAGTATAAATATTTGAAATTTAGTGGTATGTGTATTTACGTACACCCGTACCAAACTCCGTGCCAATTGGACTAGTAAAGTGTTGCAAAACCCGAGTCATTAATGGTCCAATTGGCACTGGTATACAAACCAACACGAGCCAAAAATCCGTACCAATTCGAACAAGATCCGGGTTTGATCTGTGCCACCGAAACCCGTACCATTCCGCGCCAACCCGTACAATTACAGTACGCTTTCCTTATAGGGCATTTGAACACCACGCAAATTCATATTTAAGTTGATAACTTTACTAATGACTAATTATAAATTTAGATTATCGCAAGCTTTACTTTTGAAAAATTTTCACAAACCCTTATAAAATGTTATGGATTGACTAGAAACCCTGATACACAGGATTTTATGATTGTTCTTAAATGTATGGATAGTAACTTACGTGATTTTCTTGTAAAAACGGTCAATTTATCTTGGAAAACTAAATTTAAAATGGTGCGAAATATTTCTAACAGTATTAGAAAAATACATAATCAAAATTATATGCATAAAAATTTACACTCAAGAAATATTCTAGTTGATGAAGCTAAACCTCATTGTGTAGTTAGTGATTTTGGCTTATATAAATCATTAGAAAAATCAAATCGAAATTATGGAAACCTTCCTTATATTGCTCCTGAAGTATTATATAATAATTCATATACAATAAAATCGGACATATACAGTTTGGGTATGATCATGTGGGAAATTTCTTCAGGCGTATCACCTTTTTATGATCAAATGAATAAACCAGATAATGAGCTTGCTCAAAATATAATTAATGGATTGAGGCCTAAGATTATTGACGAAATTCCATCCGATTACGCTGATTTAATGGTTAAATGTTGGGATGCAAATCCAGAAAATAGACCAAATGCTGATACAATTATGAAAAAGATGGAGAATTTGCTTAGAGAAATTTATGAAAATGATGTTATTAAAGAATTAAAGCTTATTCCAATTAAAATGCCTAAAATCAAACGGCTAATAAGATGGTTAAAAAAATTTAGATGTCAAAAAAATAAGAAGTTACTCTTAACAACTAAGATCAATAATATATTTTCAACGGATAAGAAAAATGTATACTTGAATAACTAAGAACCCGAAAGATAGTAATTGCATGATAGTTATGGAGTATGCGTAGCAGAGAATGCCTTTAATTGAAAAAGATAAAAGCCTTTTTTTAAACACTGAGCTGGATAAGAGCCAATTTTAGTTACTACAAGGGATGGGAAGTGGTTTAAAACGGAGTGTTAAAAAACATGATTGTTTGATTTAAAACTGTTTTAAATGATTTAATACATTCTGACGTAATCACAACACGTAACAATGGGATAGTATTTATTTATTTAACTAATTTCGTCAAACAAGTTTTTCGTTATCTCTTTTTAAAATATAAAATTATAAACAATCATGCTCCATGGGAGACCTACATTAAAAGAAATTCGCTTGAACTTTAAAAAGTTACGAAACTGCGTCTCGCCAAAAGTGTAACTACTATGGAGAGGACTTTGTGGATTTAGACGCTTAATTAAAGGACCACTTACTGTATATGGATGCAAAAACTTTCAAAAAATATGAAAAATTTATTAAATAATGAACGGTAAAAAAACTTATTGTAGTCTATCAGAATTTAAGAATTCAAAAAGGAATTGAGATTGATGGTTGTTCAAAAATGACGATAATTAAATTTATAGTTATGCATTAAATTAAAAGGAGTGTACAAAAAAAAAGAAAAGAAAATTATATATATATATATGTGTTGTACATTGGTCTTAAATAACCGTTAATTCAAAATTAAAGTACTTGGGTTTAAAATTAAAATGTAACATACGTAGTTTTAAAAATTATACTGATTAATATGTAACATACGTACGTACTTCAATTAAACTCAAGTCTAATATAAGAGTTTAATAAATTAGATTGATTATAAAAAAAAAAAAAAATTCTGTTATTTTATCTTCCATAATATGGCTTAAATTCTTCACTATTTTTCATTTCTTTCATTTCAAAGCTTTCAAAAAATAGTTGATGATTACAAACAATAGAAAAAACGAAAGACATATAATGAATCGTTCAAAGTATGTTCGTTACCTGGCTATTTTACGAAACCCGTCAAGTAAACATAAAAATTCAAACTTTAAATATTGGGTTATTAATACTTTTAAATTAATTAAAGTTGGAAGTATCGATGGACTGAATGTTAAATCTGATAAACATAATCGTGGTAGCAAATCGACATATTACTCAGAACCGTCAAATAATTTATAATCTTAATGGAGAAACGATATAAACCTAAAAAACGGGTGTTAAATTTGAAACCTGGTGATCTAACTCGTAAAGATTTGGATTCCTGATATTGATAGGCTAAAAATAGATAGACGAGCATTGCGATACATATCATGTATGTTGACAAAAAGTCAACTGATAGAAAAGACAGGGAGAGTGATCAGGGTTACACGCCACGTGCTACAACCCTGCCCCGATAAAATCGGGACCGAGATTTCATGCGAATACAACTACAAAGAAGCAACATCATACCGCGCGATTTTCATGCGTAACACAGCTGCGTAACAGAAAGAGACATCAGACCATATCGATGTTCATGCGAACACAGCTACGTAACGGAAAGCCACCGTCCTCAATCAATATAAAAGAAGTGACGAATAAATCAATTCCTAGCATTCTTCTCTTTCCCCTTGCAACACAATCAAGCATTATAACTGTCATTTTCTCACCCAACCCTTCCCACCCCCTATAAGAAATCGGTACACGTAAGTACACACATAAATATGGAATAATATACGAGTAAACACGAGTAACATAATCATTGCATGGAAACTGCACAGAAAATGATCATCCAAAAATTTAAAATATGCTATTACACGAAAAGTTAGAATCCATGCATTAACAAGCACAATCGTTAAGACTCTTAACGATTATAAATTTCGTACACTGATATGCACTATAGTTACTATAAGATTTTTAATTTCTGTACATTATCATGTACACAATCGTTAAGATTCTTAACGATTATAAATTTCCGTGCACTGACGTGCACTATGTTTACTTTTTTTGTTTGTTTTTTTTAATTCACTTTTTTTTTATATATCAGACACAGGACATGCCCCCCTACAGGGGTTCAAAATGTTGTCACATATAAATCAAATGAGTTGACTCACCCAAATTTATATGTAAAATTTG